TCCCCCCCTCAGCGGGCCACTGTAAAATTATCAAACGTTGACCGGTCCGCGGCGATAAAAAGGTTGGGGAGCACTGATCTAAGGGACTGCTCCAGACAAAATGTAATTTCTTTGAATTTTTAATGCAATCAACTTTGTTTTGGTCTTTTAACTGCCTCCGGGCCGGCCCGTAGAAAAACGGCCGGCCCAGAGCTCTCTAGATCTGAGCGGGCGTCTTTAGACGTCCGCTCAGACACGCCCCCTCGCGCGCGGGAAATTGCCGTTTTTTAAAAACAGGCAGCGATGCCTGTTACCATACAAGCGATCCGCCGGCTTTAGAGCCGGCAGGTTTAGTGGGGACGACAAAATTTAAGTTACACATTAAAACAATTTGTATTTTTTTAAATTGTTTTTTAAGTCCCCACCCATACATACATACATACATACATACATCGGGGGCGCATACGTGCAAAAAAACCGATTGCGCCCATTACGCCGCACATGTTACATATCGCCTCGAACGTCCGAGTGAGAGCAATAAGTCTAGGGCCATCAATCACTGATAACACTAAACTGATGAGCGGTAAAAGCTTTTAAAGCGTCGCCCATGGCCAATTTTGGGTATGCTAGTTTTCTGCGATTTCGCGGGTGCGCGCAATTTTAAAGGTTGACATGTTTGGTGTCTATTTACCCGATGTGACCCCGTCTTTTATATTTTACCAAAAAACTGGGTAATAATAAATGTTTCCTAACATAATGTAAAAAAAACCTTTTTTTTCCAGTAATTTTTCCTAATTATAATAAAAAATAAAACCTGCAGTGGTGATTAAATACCACCAAAAGAAAGCTCTATCTGTCCCCAAAAATGGTATAAAATTCATTTCAGTACAGCGCTGCATGACGGAATAAACGTCAGTCAAAGTATCGCAGCGCTGAACACTGAAAAATGGCCTGGCCAGGAAGGGGGTCTAAACACCTGGTCTTGAAGTGGTTAAAGACAAACTCTGGGTACCTGTAAGTTAGCTTCATAACTAGTTTTTAATACCATATTGGTTGATCTGATTACGTTTCATTCAGAGCTTTATAATCTGTCCAACCTGTATTTACCCTTTACCAGTGGTGTCTGCAGGGACTGTTACCTGATCTAATGGCAAACAGCCAGCTTGGGCAACTCTCGATTCATGTCTATGGTTAACTTTAGCAAGCAAAATAGACTTTGGCTTACAGGAAAGATGTGATCGTGTGTGAGCGATTAAGATTTTGGCAGCACAGTTGTATAAAGCAATGATGGCAGAAACCCGTAAGCAACTAAAAAGGCCTGGACCCTGAATCAGTGAGATACATATGTAGAAAAGGAGGCAACTCTAAAGGCCAGAGGTCCAGTATACAATTTCACTGGTCCATGCAGAATGTGATATCAATCCTTTGATTGACTCCATGATGTATGTAACATATCCATGGCTATCAAAGAGTAAGCAAGCCTATGAAGGCAATAGCTGCTGTAAACTTGTTTTCATTTTAATTGGTTAAAGATATGGGGCGTGTATGACTTACACACAAAAAGTTTTCTGTATCTCGTATGCCCAGAGCCACTCCTGAGAACTGCGGTATGTCTCAGAAATAATGACGTTGGCTCATGTATAAATGAAGTCAGTGCTTGCAGACTTCTTTCATAAATATATTGTTATCAAGTAATTTGAACCAAGACTAGTCACAGAATACAGTTATCATTTGTATCTACAGAAACACTGCTCAAACTAGGGGAAACACTATGCTGTTATGGTCTAAAATAGACTTGCCGTGTCTTGTATATACAGTCACAGGAGGGAAATCTCTGCACCCTTGTGACAGGAAGAAAGTAAAATACAACAATTTGAGCTTAAAGGAGAACTATGGGGTCAGTGTTTTTCCCCATAGTTCTCCTTAGGGTAACGGGAGGACACAAACTAGCATCCTCCCGTTACCCTAAGCTCAGTATACCGTGAGCTACAGCTCGCGGTATACTGAGACGCCGGAGCGGATCACGTCTTAGATGACGGGATCCGCCCAGCTGCGTGAGTGACAGCTGGCTCTGCCTATCTAGAGGCAGAGCCAGCTGTACCCGCCCCCTCCCCCGTCCGTTCCGCCAGACAGCGCTGGCAGATCGGAGCGGGGAATCCAGCCCCTCCCCCTGTCACGGCAGAGAGCGTGACAGGATCGAGAGGCGAGCGAACCCGGTATGTGTTCGCTCACCTCCCGATCTACTGAGCCAACCTATGACAGTCTCATTGTCACAGGTCGGCTAGAACTATGAGGTGAGTGAAAAGCACTCACCTCCTAGTTCTCCTTTAAGAGTACATTAAAAACCAATGTGAAACACCATGACACGGTGTAATATGTTCTGTGTTGTTCTTCCTAGGTTCTATTTACCTCATTTTAAGACCTGCTAAGGACCAGATGACTTTTATTACGTCCTGATACATGAAACCATGGAATTCACAGGGTGTGCTTTATTTTTCACACAATTGTATCTGTGTCTATAGTTTTTGCGGGTGTCAGATTCCTGTCTTCGTGTGGGTTTCAGCTTCCACTGTCTGCTGCTCCCGAGTCACACTTCCTTTCTGCTTCAGGACTGTATAATATTTGAACACTGAAACTGAGCTACAGCAGCAGTAAGGATTGGCCAGAATATGTGACTACAAAAGCCACGCTCCTCAGCGTTGTACTTAGAGGTGCTTATAGAGTAGTGATAGTCCCCACCACTGCTGCTGCCAGGTCCTCTGTGCAAGAGTAATGCAATCAACCTTGTTTTGTCTTATATGTCACAAGGCTAAGTGTGGGACTCCCACTCAGAGGAGTTATTAAAGTGGGGTCTGGTGACAGGGTATCTTTAAAATGTATTTCCACTTTTGCAGTAAAATTTTAGAAAACTCCACTATATGTTTGTGTTCCCATTCACACAGCATACCAAAAAATAATAAAAATGTCTTCCTCTATTAGCTGTTTCTTTGGTGAAGGCCTTTCTGCATTTTCCAAGCTAGTTTCAGAGTAACACTATTGTGTCAGACTGAGCTCCCTCTCATTAAACTGACACAACTCAGGAGCTACATTTAAAAATACATTCAGGCACCTTTATATATTAACAAAATGTATCTTATTTGGGTATCACTCGGCTGTAGATCCTCCAATCATCTCTGCATTGGTGCTGACACTGTCCTTCCTTCTGGAGGGTGACTACTTTTCTTCCCCATGGTCCCTGTGTGTGTTGTAAAGTAGTCACTGCTCCAAGCTCACTCCTGTGATGGACTACAATACTCAATACAAATTGGTAAGCTGAATGTGAGATTGTAGTCCATCACGGGAGCGAGCTTGGAGATTTGAGGATCTACAGCTGAGTGATACACAAATACGCGCAGTTGCATGAATGGTCCCCCATAGCAATGTATGGGATTCTTCATGGTGGCTGAACCGCCCTGGTGTGAACAGGGCCTAAGTCATGGTCAACGTCTAGCCTACCACTCTACATAGGAATTGTAACCACTTTCATACTGATGCTATTGCAGCTGCCAGTGTTTAAAGTAAAACCTTGTATTATGTTTTTCAGAATGTTATTTTTATTGCAGGGCCCAAGTAGGTGGAATATACGTACAGGGCCCAAGTAGGTGGAATATACGTAAACACATAATACAGTTGTTACATAGTGCAAATATCAGTGCTTCCAGTTGCAATGTCAGATACGTAATATATACTGAGGTGAAACTACATAATTCAGCACCCCAAAAGTAACCATCCATAGCTCACCTTTGCGTACCCCCAGCCACAGCTTATCTCTGCCCTCCATTTCCAGATCTCAATTTCTCAACCACAGCACTCACCTTACAGCACTCACCTCGGCACCTCTCTATTCAGCCACAGCTCTCATGGCAGCACCTCCATCCAATCCACCTCTACAACCCCCATCTACAGCACTCACCCCACCTCTGCACTTGGCAACTCCCCCACCACAGCATGAACCTCTGCACCCAGCACCCCTCTACCCACTGCTCCACACCCTAAACCCTGTCCAGGGCTCACCACTAGGGATGCACAGATACTTTGAGTACCAGTGCAGATACTTGGCATTTTCATGAGAACTACCAGGGTTACATTGGTTGCAGCTGGGACTTGGCTCTGGAGCTCCACCACTGTCCTGAAATCATTAGTCTGTATTGTTTTAGAAAAACTGTCACATGACAATAAACAAAAATGTATCAGTACTCGTACTTGTAAGTACTCGGCAAGTACCAGTACTCGTACTCACAAAACTGGTATCTGTGCATCCCTTTATTTATAAAAACAAAATCGTACATTAAAACAGAGATGTACAAATCCCAGGAGCTCCGTGTGCTCCTTACAAATGACAGCTGCCTCCTAATTTTTAATTTTTCTCTAGTGTAGTCTTGGAGCTCAAAAGTATCGGAACATGTACTCGTACTTGTACCGAGTACTGTACTTGGTATCTGTGCAACCCTACTCACCACTCATCTTCTACTAAAGGGAGGAACTGACAGCAGCTGGCAAGGAACCATTATGTTCTCCTCTTTCAGGCACTCAGTGCTCCAAGCCCCCCTCTCGAGAGGTCTGGGTGCCTGTCACTAGTAACACTCCTGGTTAGCCCTCCAACTAATATCAAAATAACACATTGAATAAGGCCACAACTGTGCTGTGTTTTTTCTAAAAATGAAACATTCAGCAAAATGTTCTCTCAATTTTAGGCTCGTGGTGGAAGGAGGAGGAATGATACATCATTTGATGAGCATGACAAACCTTACGTATGCGACAGTAAGTAGCGCTCCATTATTCTGCTTCTTTGTGCTAGAACTTTGTTCCTAAGTGCCCAGCTTATTACCCATCAGTAGGAGTCACAGCCTTGTCATTTTCTATGTTGTTTTTGCTTTAGCTTTGCCGCTTTACTTGGTTGCCTGCTAGCTTCTTCTTGCCTTTGTACTGGAGCTTTGCTTAGACATGCACTTTGCAAGTATAACAATGTCTGGATTGCATGTGGCTTCCCTGCAACAAAACATTGCTGTGAAAATCAGCAAACAAAACCAGTATTGGCAATACACAGTTTAGGGGATCTTTACATATGAAAAAAATACAAAATCATTGCAAATACTTTGATTTGTACCAATTAACGAGAAATACTTTGGCTGCCATAGTTGCCCAATTGTCATGCTGATCCATTGACTTTGATACTTAACGAGTATCTGGCCTGGATCAAGTATGCAGAGCAGGAGTTCTGGTTCCACTGTGACCCCAACAAGCTGCATGCTTGTCTGTGGTCAGCGACTTTAAAGGTTCTATTTATAAAACTTTGCACACAAGATTCATACACAGTTTCTCATTTGAATGCTATAACATAGCACAATGTTCCAAAACAAAGATATACAGAGGACAGGAAGGCAAGACTCGACGCTAGGAGGCGTATTTAAGAGCAGCACCCTATCCCTGGGCCACATCCCTACAAGGGAGAGAACCATCTAAGGAAAAGGTGGAACCAAGGAGAGATTATCCATTCATAATATCTGCCTGGTGATAAAGGTTGGCTGGAATGGAGCTAGACATTTGTGTGTTTACAGCTGTGGAAAGGTCATAAACACCCTACAGAACAACTTGGTTCATTTATGCTATATACAGTATATGAATGACACACATACCCAGAAGACAAGTTATTTATACAGACACATATCTTTCTCACAATCTCAAGTTAACAGCAGTGATAACTATAAAAAAAAAAAAAAAGCAACAGAATTTTTGTACTTGTTGTACAATCCATTTTCTTGGGAGTTCACTAGGGACACAAGGTTCAGTTATTCAGAATCAATTGGGTTATACTACCGGCTACAGGAGGAAATGGACACTGGCAAACAAAGCCATTGGCCAGCTATGTATAACCCCTCCCACTCCAGTTTTGTAGAAAGCGATATTGGGAATGGATCACAAACACAGACGGTTGGGACCTGTGTCCTTTAATGAGCTCTAAGAAATAGATTTTACGGTAAGTATAAAAATGTTGTTTGTTAAAGGAGAACTATGGGGTTAAGGCTTTTCCCCATAGTTCTCCTTAGGGTAAACTTTAAGGGACACAGAATTTAGCTATTCAGAGACAATTGGGACGTCCAAAAGCAGGTAACAAAACACCAACAGGCCTACATAAAATATAATAGGACTGAGGCAGCCTGCAGCTCAAAGAGCTGCCTGAAGCTGAGGCCTGAACATCCACCTAGTAAAATGTAAGAGAACTTGTGAACCCCGGTGGAAGGCTCGCAAAACACCCAGGTTTTAAAGATGGAAAAATTCTGAAGCGATTTA